AAAATGGCTCAGCAGTTTAGAGCGCTTGCTGCTCTTATAAAGAAGATGCAAGTTCAGTTCCCAGCACCTACATCAGGTAGCTCAAAATCACCTGTAACTCCACTTCCAGGGGATCTGATGCTCCCTTCTGGCTTCTATGGAAACCTGCACGGACACACACACACACACCACACACACACACACACACACACACACACACACACACACACATGCACGCACACATACTAAAAATAAATATTTAAACAATATAATAAAATTATAAAGCTATTTAGGATAGGCTATCCAAATTTTCTATGAGTAATTTGATAAGATATTTTCAGGGTCTTTAATAAAAGAAATTAATTTTGTCACTAGTAGCACCTGCTCCAAACCTCATCCTTCAATATTCCTAAAGTCAACAATGGGATTTCCAGCAACTAAACAGCTGCTTCTTGTTATTGGAAAATTACTCAGATGGCCAGAAAAGAGAAAAATCCCAGGAGTGGCTGCTATTGAGGAATCAGAATAAAAGTAACCATGACATATCTCCATACCCTAAATTAACAGCAAGTCGATTCTAGAGAAGATGCAATAGCCTCAAATTGAGAATATGAGATGAACAGGTCAGAACACGAACACAATCCCTAAATGTCACAACATTCCAAGGAGAACAGAGAAAACAAATTTGTCTTTCAAGCATATAATTTTCTCCACTCAGAATGCAAACATGACCCTATTAATCCAAATCAAACCAACAACTTAGGACATTTTTCTTATATACAAGGTTAATATTCAGACAAGCAACTAAATTTCTAACCCTGAGTTCAAACATCTGTGAACTGACCCCCACAAAGTTCAGTAACCCTGAGTCGTTGGATACAGGAAACACACAAGATAGATTTGGGTTTATTAGTGACTTTTCTACATTATGAAGTCTCCAAGTGTGGCTGGTTAAGCCTCATTTCTCCTGCCAGATTAACTTATAAGGAAAATTTGAGAGCTATTATACATTCAAGAGATTCAAGAGATGATCCAGCTCTCTATCACTGTCTTCTGTATAAGTTTATTCATTTGTGTGTGTGTGTGTGTGTGTGTGTGTGTGTGTGTGCATGTGCACACCAGAGGTGACATCAGGTATCTTCCTCTATCACTCATCACATTAGTTTTTGAGACATGGTCTCTTATTGAACCTTGATCTCACTGATTTGGCAAGACTAGCTGGCCAGCAAGCAGGGTCCTCTTGTCTCTACTTTCCAACACTGCAGTTACAGGCACATGCCCCTATACCTGGCTTTTCACATGTGTGCTGGAAATATGAACTGAGACCCTCGTGCTTGCACCACAAGAAATTTACTGACTGAGCCATCTCTCCAACCTGTCTATATAACTTTAATCTCTTTTCCATACAGACCTTTATTCCCCTACTATGTGCTACATGACCTTAGGATCTCTAAAACTAAATGCCATGTTTATTCAGTCATGAAATCTCATTGGATCTTCTTGAAATGCATTTGAAATTATGAAGACAAAGTTCATAAGCCCAGTAAAGTCTTAATCCTTTAATACTGAACTAATTCACTGAGTGCCTCAACTGTGGAAAATAGTCATATACTATCCAAATCACACAATCATTGGCACAGAAACATCCATAAATATCAGAAAATCATACACAGTTAACTTTTAATTATCCACACTAATGAAGGGGAACAGTGGCATAGTTAATCCAAAATAGTCTAAAACCCAATAATAATTTCTACTAGGATTCAAAATTCACTATGTGACTTTCTTCCCAGATTTACCTTCTGGTTATTTTCCATGATTAATATCAAGGAATTAAAAAGAAACCAATCTCAATTTCTATCTTAAAGTCTTAAAATGTAAAAACTTCAGCCTCCATCCCAGGCTTGCAGAACTAACATGTAATGTCTTTCATCCAAGTTTATAATACAATAACTTTGTATAATCTTATCTTGAACTTTCTATGGGCTATTAAGTCTTAATGCCATGCCTCCCCCAAAATTAATGTGCAGGATTTGTGCTTGTCATTCTGTTATTTTCCTTATGTGTGTGTTGTGTGTGCATGCCATATACATACATGCACATACAAATAGGTGTGTGTGGAAGCCGGAGGTGAATTCGTTCCTCAGGCATTATCCACCTTGTTTTTTGAGACGGGATTTCTCATTGACCTGGAACTCACCAGTTAGGCTAAGCTGGCTCACCAGCAGGCTCACCCACCTGTTTCCATTTCCCCAGCAATATTACAAGGATACCCCACCATACCCAGCTGCTTCACATGGCTTCTGGGGATCGGGGGATCATACTAAGGTCCTAGTGCTTGCTCAGCAAGCACTTTATCAACTGAGTTATCTGCCCAGCCAGAGTTCATGACCTCTCAGTTCTTCCTCTCTCTTCTTTCTAAATCATTCTATTCAACTCTGTGTTGCTCATCTATGCATTAGTTAGACCATTAAAGGACCTTAACTATTCAGCTATTCCTGTCATAATAAATAACACTGAGTAATAAGCCTACCACCAAACCCAGTGACTTAAAACAACTGCTATTTGTTGCTGGCTCACAGATCTTGAACTTGGCTGGACTCAGGTCAAGCCTTTGATTTCCCCTGGTTGTTTTGGACCACTGCTGTATGGGACTTACAAGAGCACAAGATGAGGCAAGCTACCCATGCATACTTAAAGCCTCTGCTTACATCGTACCCATGATGTAAGCTACAGGCTATAGAAGCTACACTGCCAAGCCTAGAGTCAGTGGAGCCAAGAAAGTATAGTTCACCCAAGGAAGAAAGAAGAAGAGCAAATTTCTGCAGAAAAGCAATCTAGTCCACCATTTAATATGCATTACATTCCCAAGCAGGTTCTGGAAATACTAAACTGAATTAAGTCTTAATTGATTTCTGTCCTTGAAGAGCTCACATCAGGAAAAAAAAAAAGATAACACTAAAACTGCTAAGTAAGGAAATGTTCAAAATACTATGTGGGAAGGGCAAATAAAGGAATCTAGTACTTCTTGTGCTTAAAGAATCAGCAAGAACTTTACATTTGACTGTCTAAGGAGGTCCTTGAAAATAAGTGAGTTTTCAGGGGAAGAAAAGATAGAAAATACAGTAGCAAACTGCTCAGTGAGTGACAGGCTGTATAGCCTGACTACAGTCTAGCACACGTGAGTGTAACTGAGGCCATTAACCCAATAAGCTAAGTTGGGACTATAAAATATTTTATAGATCAATGAGTTCAGAAAATTTACAAATGGTAGTCACAGATTTCAAATGGGGCAACAAGAGATATGACTCTCATAGCCAGAACTTGATTTGGAAACAATCCCAGTGGCAGGATGGAGAAGAGAGGAGAGGGATATGAAGATGCTAGAGGCAGGAAGGTCAGCTGAGGGACTATGGTTCCATATATGTTTCAAGTACCACAATCAGGCCCTGTGCCAGGACAGCACCAGAAGCAAAGACAGGAAGGAAGTCAATTTGAGAAATATTTTAGATATAGAATCAGATAGTGATTGGGTAAGAGAGATAAGGGGCCTGGATGTTGTATTCTAAGCTTGCACACCTAGTTATAAGGCTAAGCCATTCCTTCTTTCTGCTTCCAGAGCACTCTACACTGCAGCTGCCCCTCTCTGTACCTCCCCAGGAGACTATGAATTCTGCCTCTTAGCCTAATTGAAAGCCGGAGGGCAGCAAAAACACAAGAAGAGTGGAAGCATAGGAAGAATCATTTGATGAGAAAAGATTGATATATCCCTTTCCATAATCAGTGAAACACAGGTGAACAGATTTAGCAGGTTCTTTATCGAGTGCCTTTAATCACCTGACTCCAATCAATACTCCTTTAGAGGAACATAAATTAATTCCCCAAACAAACAGCTTGTGCCTGAGGAGAGATGCCTGTAGTGTTTACACACTCCAGCTCCCTTGTGAATTGCAAGGGCGGGAGAGAAAGAAAGGCAATGAGCTCAGAGGCAGAGTCTGTGCATAGAAATGCACAGGGTCAGAGAGCAAGTCCTCCAGCTGTGCTGACACTACATTAGTCTGAACTGGCACTGGAACAAAGTCACCCACATATGACACAGCCCCACTCAGATCACAAGCTGAGTTGGATGGTTATATAGCTTCTCCACCCGGAATGCTTTCCATCTTTCTACAACCACCAAGACACCTAGCCTCTAGAACTCCAAACTCCCAACAGAGCCTAATGGAAAAGACCGGTGCTGGGACTGTTATTCAAGCCTGGTTTGCAGGCCATTGATCAAGCCACTTTCCCACTATGGCTCCCATTTCTACATCTGTGCAAATGAAAATTAATACCTTCTTCCCTACTCACACTGTTCTGCAAGCTCCAGTGCACATAGAAACAGAATATTTCTTCCCCTCATCCAATATATTACCCTGCTAAATGACCGATTTACATAAAGGACTGTCAAGTAAAATAGCTTACAAAACTTCTCCTAAGCAGAGGGTCCACAAAAGGAATGTGTGGCATCTGCAACCAGAGCTGGCTTGGCACTTAATGTCTTACCTTCAATCGTTCTCCTTCCTATTTCCTCTGACAAGAAAAGCCAGACCAAAATTCTAAAGATCAGCCACCCGTGCTGAGAACAAGGCCAAGGGTTAACACAGGCCTTTCTAAATGATCCCAGTTGTTGTTTGAAATAATGGCAACCATTATCCTCATTATTAATAAGGGCTATTCCACCCAACTGGTGTGTATGTCCTGCTTAAATGTGAGGCAGAGAGGTCAAGGCATGAAGAATTAGACTAGTCTTTTCATTTTTCCTTTCTTTTCAGAATGACCTCAGGGTAACTTCATAGAGATTCAACCAGCGCTGGAAATGCTTTTTCCTGCTTGTGGGCCCTTCCAGATCAGTCATCACTCTTCTTACAGCCTGTAATCGCCAACACCCCCCCACACACACACACACACAAGCCAGTTCTAGTTTAAGAATTAATATGCAAATTCCCTAATTACATAGGCAAGAATTTTACAGGTCTCACCTGGATTGGTAGATAATTTCCTAGGTCTCTGTCTTCCTCAGTAGCAGATCTGGGAACTCCAACTTCAGGATTGTCATAGAAAGCATTACTCTCACTAAACTAACCAACCCTCAGAATTAGCCAAGAGAAAGTGTATATTGATCTGACTTGGTGACGTGAGAACAGAGCCACTTTCTTTGATGATTAACCTTTTCAGAGACCTCTCAGGCTACAAAGACTCTTAGTTGGTAGAAAAGAAAATCACTGAAGAATCATTAAAATGTCCCTAGAACCACTATCTTTGTACCATTCTCTCCTCTAAAATAATAAAATTGCTCAGATGTTGAGCCTCTTTTAGA